CTCACCAAGGCTCACCCTTCTCTAGGACAGTTCAGAGTCTCAGGATAGGAGAGAAGATCCTGAAATAACCAGCCAGCAGTTCCCTTCCATCTGCAGCCCACTGTGAACCATGGCCTCTCTCAGGCCTGGTTCTCTGCCTACACCTAGTGTCTTTGGAGGTCTGAATCCCATGATGCTGAGTCTCTCAGTCTTCACCTAGTCAGGACCAGAAGTGTGTTTTTCCTGGTGGTAAACCTGGGGCTGGCTCAACATGAGTCTAGAACTTTCCAAAAATAAATTATCCAAGAAGCCTCAATTTATGCTTTGGTGTTGAGTCTCAGTCCTTCTCTCACACCAATTCTGATGGCTCTCTAGGAAGAAGGCAGAATCCATAACTTTTCCATTTTTAACTTCAGATCTACCAGAGGCACATGTGACCCATCACACCAGACATGAAGGTGACGTCGCCCTGAGGTGCTGGGCCCTGGGCTTCTACCCTGCTGACATCACCCTGACCTGGCAGAGAGATGGGGAGGACCTGACCAAGGACATGGAGCTTGTGGAGACCATGCCTGCAGGTGATGGAACCTTCCAGAAGTGGGCAGCTGTGGTGGTGCCTTCTGGAGAGGAGCAGAGATACACATGCCATTTGCAGCATGAGGGGCTGCCTGAGCCCCTCACCCTGAGATGGGGTAAGGAGGGTGTGGGCACAGAGCCTGCTGTCAGAGAAAGCAAGAGCCCTCCTGGAGCCCCTGAGGAGGGTCAGTGCTGAGAGCTGGGGTCAGGCCCTCCCCACCCCTCTATTTTCAGAGGAATCTTCCTCATCCTTCCTCCTTATTGTGGTTGTCGCTTTCTTCATTGGTGCACTGGGAGCTGTGGCTATGGTGAGGTGGAGGAGGAGGAGCTCAGGTAGGGAAGGAGTGGTCTGGGTTTTCTTACCCACTGACACCCCAAGGCAGGGAAAATATTTCCCTCCTGGCTGGTAAGAGCTTGGCCCTGTGTTCAAAAAGATACAATGATTTTTGTTTGTTTTTAATTTTTAAATTTATTTTTATTTTGGGTGTACAGGTGTTTTGTCTGCATGTATGTAATGCCAGTGGAGGCCAGAAGAGGGTTTCATATGTCCTGGAACTGGAGTTATGGACAGTTGTTGGCCATTGTGTGGGTGCTAGAAACCAAAACTGGGTCCTCTGCCAGAGCAGCCAGTAGTCCTAACTGTTGAGCCATCTCTCCACGTGATATACTGTTTAATGTTATAATCTCAAATGTTTATATTTCAAAAGATCAATCCTAAAAAGTATAATTCTGGAAAAAGATTTTAAAAATTTCTTTGAAGTCTTTATTGAGGTTTTTGAATGGTGTTTAAAGAACATAACAGAGCCCAGTTTATATCACGAAATAGAGACAAGAACACGTATTCTGTCCTCTAAGCACTGAGGTGTAGCTATGTCGCAGTTAGAAGCAGATGAACTGTATTCAGAAAGACAAAGGTCACCAAAGAAA